GCACTGCTGGTCTGGGAATAAGGAGCAGAGAAAATAAAAAAAATTCCTTTAAAGAGATGGTGGTGCACGTCTTTAATCCCAGGACTCAGGAGGCAGAGGCAGCCGATCTCTGTGAGTTCGAGGCCAGCCTGGTCTACAGAGTGAGTTCCAGGACAGCCGTGACTGTTACATAGAAAAACCCTGGGGGGGGGGGGGGGGGGAGAGAGAGAGAGAGAGAGAGAGAGAGAGAGAGAGAGGAGCCCAAAGCAAAACTAGGGTTGTTTTCTTCTTATTGTTTGGTTCTTTGGTTTTTGGAAACAGGGTCTCTTCATGTAGCAAGGCTGGTCTCAAACTCCCCATCTTCCTGCCTCAGTCTCTGCGTGCTGGATTACATGCATCTCCCACCATCAACAGGCAGAGAAGAGCCACTGGGAGTCACTCAGGAACTGGGCTTCGTTCAGTGTGGAGGGCTGGCCCTGTCCTATAGGACCAGGCAGGACTCAAGGAGAACAGTCTCTGCCCTTGCTCGGAGGATGCTGGGTTTGCTGTGCTCCCACCCAGGGCGGGCAGAGAAGTGACCTAGTTCTTCTCCCGCCTGCATCCTCATTTCAGCCGCTCTCAGAACCATCAGGTCATTACTTACGAGTGACATTCCAGGGCATGTCCTTTGCCATTTCCTGTGCTCAGCTTTTTTTTTTTCCTAGCCTGGCCTCTAACTCTGAATCCTCCTGCCTCAGTCTTCCGAGTACTGATGTTGTAGGCTTTGTTCATGGTTTCTCGTTTAATCTTTCCAGCAAACCCCACAGAGCTGGCTCTGTCAACTCTACTTTCTAGATGGAAATTTGAGAACTTGGGAGACTTTTGTTTTTACCTGGAATTCTCCATGAAGCTGAGGGATGACCTTGAACTCCTGACCCAACAGTTTCTACTTCCCAAGTGTTGAAATTATAGGCATAAACCATCATCTTCTGGTAGAGACAATTTTTCTTTTTTAAAACGGAGGCAATGGGCTGGAGAGATGGCTCAGTGGTTAAGCGCATTGCCTGCTCTACCAAAGGTCCTGAGTTCAATTCCCGGCAACCACATGGTGGCTCACAACCATCTGTAAAGAGGTCTGGTGCCCTCTTCTGGCCTTCAGCCATACACACAAGACAGAATATTGTACACATAATAAATAATAAATAAAATTTAAAAAAATAAAAATAAAACGGAGGCAATGAGAGGTCAAGTTGTCATCCTGTGTCTCAAATCCACCCTTTGGAACAGAAGCATCGGGTCCCCTGGGATGGTAAGATGACAAAAAGAATCTGGAGTGGCCAAAGGACCAGCCTAACCAGAGACCTGTTTGGGAGCCTAAGAAGGAGAAAGGAATTTAGGCAGTGACATTTTCAACCACTAGGTGTCACCACAGAGACTACTTTTCAAAGTGCCTAGGAGTGGGAATAATCTGACAGTTTTTCTCCCACTTGAGACAGGGGCTCACTGTGTAGCTCTGGCTGGCCTGGAATTTACAGAGATCTGCCTATTTCTGCCTCTGTAGGGCTGGGGTTAAAGGTATGGGTCACTACGCCCATCCTCAATCATATTTTGAGACGGAGCTCTTACTGAACCCGAAACTCACGGATTTGGATAGACTAGCTGGCTACCTGTTTAAAAGCACTTGTTTTTGTGCCCCCAGATTTGAGGGTACAAGTGCTTTTATACAGGTGCTTCAGATACAAACGTGGGTCCTCCTGCTTAGGCAACGAGCACTTTACCCACTGAGTCATCTCCGTAACTCTTTTATTATTGGTACTATTATTTAAAAAAAAATAGGGTCTCATAAGCTTGGGTTTGATGGCACACACCTTTAATCCTGGCACCTGGCAGGCAGAGGCAGGTGGATCTGTGTGAGCTTGAGACTAGGCTGGTCTACATAGTGAGTTCCCGGTCAGTCAGAGCTACATAGTGAGGCCCTGTCTTCAAATAAATAAGCAAATAAGTAAATACATAAACAATTAATAAAAACTGCAATCATGGGGCTGGAGAGATGGCTCAGCAGTTATGAACCCTTACTGCCATTATTGAGGACACACGTTTGAGTCTCAGCACCCACATGGTGGCTTACAGACACCTGCAACTCCAGTTCTAGGGGATCCAATGCTTTCTTCTGACCTCCAGCGGTACCGGAACCACAAGAGGTTCACATACATATGTGCAGGCAAAACACTCATGCAGATAAAAACAACCCATTTACCAACAAAAGGAGGGCACAGAGTCACCGATGTGAGCATTGAGAAGACAAAGCCGGAAGATGTGTCTACTACTTTGTAGGTAGGTGGCTTGAACGTAGACGGTTACGCTTTGTGCGGCTCATTCCCTCACCTGGAAAGTGCGAGTATGATCACTTCTTGAGAAAACTGAGGAGTAAATGGATTATGACGGCATGTGAGCTTATGACAATGACTGGTACATGGTGAATTGCAATAAATGTCAAACCTTACGGTTTCTTTTTGAAAATATTTTTTTTCGACAATTTCATACATCTATATAGCACGTTGACCAGAATCACCGCTTTCCCCTCTTTTATTCTCGTCCACTCCTTCTGGAACCCTTCTGTCCAACATGCCCCCTCCTCCTTTCACGTTTTCTTGTCTGAGACAGAGTCTCATTGTTTATCCCTGGCTGGCCTGGAACTCACAATGTGCCCCATGACTTGAAACTGACAGACAGAGTCAGGCCTGCCTCTGCATCCAAATGCTAGGCCACTCGTCCTGGCCCTCAATTACTTTTTACAACCTACTTTCTCCTTTAAGTTCTAGCTCTCTACATCAAAATAGTTGCTATGGGAAGGGGGGCCGGTGGGAGGGCTCGGTGTAAAGGTGCAGGCTTATTGGCCACCAAGCCTGCCAACTTGAGTTTGATCCCAAGAATCCACATGTTGGGAGAGGAACCAGTTCCTCAAAATTGTCCTTTGACCTCCACACATGTTCTATGGCGTGCCCCCTATATACAAGAAATAAAAAAAATTGGCTGGGTAGCACACACCTTTAATCCCAGTACTCCTGGAGGCAGAGGCAGGTGGATCTCTGAGTTTGAGGCCAGCCTGGTCTACAGAGCAAGTTCCAGGACAGCCAGGACTGTTACACAGAGAAACCCTGTCTCAAAAAAAAGAAATCATTTTTTTCTTTGCTTCAAATAATTTTTTTTCCTGGAATGCTTTTCTTTTCCTTCCTACCCTGGCCCATTTCTAAAGACTTCAGGTAGAAAATGAGGGATAGCCTCTTGGTTTCGTTCTTCATAAAGCTTATTATTGATATGTCTCCACATGAGATGTCCCTGTATTGGCCCTAGTGGCTGCCCCTTGTCATAGAGTGGTGTAATAAGTGAGCAGGGGCTTATTTAGCCATAGTGGACAGAGAATTCCCTCTGGAGGAGCACTTACGCAAAGCCTTGGACAATGAGGATGGGATGAGGACGATCCGTTCAAAGGCCTCGAGGTGGGAACTTCATTGCGTGTTTCAGGAACTGAAAGCAGATACACGTAATTGTCGAGCCACTAAGGATGAGGCGTGTGAAACAGTGAGCAAAGAGATAGGAAGGGCTGGTAAGCAGTCTAGATCCACTGCCCCATGCGTGCGTCACCTGCTGATCCTTCTGGCAAGTGTTCCTCGCCTTTGCTCTTCGGTAGTGGAATTCTACTCATCTTTCTTTTTTTGTTTTCTGAGACGGGGTTTCTCCACGTAGCCCTGGCTGTCATGGATCTTGCTCTGTAGTCCAGGCTGACCTCAAACTCAAGAGCTCTCCCTACCTCTGCTTCCTGAGCGCCACCACACCTGGCAAAATTCTAACTCATCGTTCAAGGCCTAGTTCAAACCATTAACAAAAATCTCTCATTCTTCAGCAGGACTTAGTCACTCCTGTGACATCCCAGCCCACAGGTCACAACAACTCATCACATGCTGACTGAGATCTCAGCTAGCTGTTTACATGCCAAGCTGTGCCCCAGCATGGTGAGTTCCCAGAGGGCGGAAGCGCTGTCTTAGTCACCTCTGGAACCAGCTCCTCCTACCTAGCCTAGTGAATGGTCACAGCAGGTACTCAATGTGACATTTAGTTCACTAGTGGGTGGTGCCCAACACTCAAGGCAGAACAGAAGGAAAACAAAAATAATAACAGCTTAGGCTTACCACGTGCTTGCCAATTCATTACCCGAGGAGCCTTTAAGGACTCTATGAAAAAGGACAAACACGGAGGGAGCTGAGGCCCAAGAGCACACAATAAGTGGGGATTAAACCCCAATACTGTTCTTTTACATGAGTTTCAGTCCTGGTCATTGGGTTGACCTAGGGAGCAGTGAGACACGGAAGCAATGGGGTTGCCTGGAGTGCTGACAAGCTTTTGTGTGTGAAGGAGAAGACCCTTAGTCATTTGCAAGAGTTCGCAATGAAGCCAGCAGAGGACAAGGATTCCTCGCTCTCATCCAAGTATCTAGAGGAGCTCACAACCCAATCCCTCAGTCCAGTGAGTTGAGGGTCCCTCTCCTGAGGAGGATGTTCAGGTTCAGCGGTTAGAATGATGATATGTAAGCAGAAGCGTGCCTCTCTGTTGCTATGACAACCGGAGCATAGCTACCGGGCCCCTGCAAGGGTAGCGGAGTCCTGGTCTTCCTTAAACCCAGACCATATAAGGGCTTATGTTGCGTGCGTGTGCACGAAAAAAAAAAAAAACATATTTAAGAAACAGCGGTTAGCTCAGTGGTTCTCTCCGTCGGCCAGAAGTTAAAATTATCTGCGCAATTTTAAAGGTCAGACTGAATTTGACCAATTAGATCTGGAATGGCTAAGTCATTGAGAGCCTCGCAGGCGGTCCCAACTACAGCCCAAGACGCAAACCCGACTCTTCACCGCGGATCTCGTCCGGCGACCTTCTCAAGATGGTGGCGCTCCGCCCCCACGTGCGCCGGTAGAGGGCAGGCTTTCTCAGGCGCATGCGCCCCGCGTCTCCGGGCGCCCGGCCGCCTCCTCCTTTTTCCCCCGCCTCCATTTTGTTCGCGGACGCTGGGGACGGTGGGAGCAGATCCATTTCCGGGTTGGCAAAAGGGGCGGCGGCGGGGAAGAGAGCTTGCCGCGGGGCGAACGGGCAGGACTGAACCAGGACACAGGTGACGGAGGATTCGCTCCCGGAGCAGCCCTGAGGTGGCGAGGACGCCGGGGCGGCCGAGCCCGCCGCTGAGGTGACCTTCGGACCTGAGTGGGAGGGAGAGAGAGCGAGCCGGGGAGGGGGTCGGGGGGGGAGGGGACACCGGGGGAGGGGCCTGAGGCGGAGAGGGGGCCTGGGGGCGGGGCCTGGAGACCCTGCGAGGGGGCGTGGGCCGTCCGAGTGCAGGGCGGCGGTGAGCGGCCGGTGCGGACCGGGCAAATGGGCAGGAGAGACAGGAAATTAGAGATCCTGAAGGGTTGGGTGAGGTGAGTAAGACGGCAACTCTGGGTGAGGAAGGAGGGGAGCCGTGCGCAGAGGGGGAGATGGGGAAGGGAGGGAGGACCTGTTGGGAAAGGTAATTATTAGCAGGATGCTCCGAGTTGAGGAGAGCGGTGTGACGTTTCGTGTTGGCTTAGGTGAACTAGAATGGCTGGAGGAGATGTGGAGAGTGGTGGGTGAGAGGGAGTCGGGGAGATGTCTGAGATGCGTTTGCGAGCTCCTGGAGTTGGAGGTTCCTGTTGGAGGGGTGTGGAATGAGGGGCTCTGGGAATCTGAAGGCGCCGAACGTAGGCTGTGTGTGCGGTTGAGTTACTGATGAGGAGTGATTAGGAAGACATATTCTGGAAGGATAGTATTGGAACGAGAAGCGGGAGGAAGCTGCTGTGTGCTGGAATCTGCACCGTCCCTGCTGGGGATTGAATCCTGGTCCACTCGTGTGCTGGGCAAGGGCTCTCTCTACCTCTAAGCTGCACCCGAGCTCTGGAATGTTTTTTTTTTTTCCCCCTTTGGTTTTTCGAGACAGGGTTTCTCTGTGTAGCCCTGGCTGTCTAGGAGCTCACTCTGTAGACCAAGCTGGCCTCGAACTCCCGAATGCTGGGATTAATGGCATGTGCCTTTTGCCCAGCCGGAACTCTTATTTTTAAAGCAACTTGAATAGTACTAGATTAATCTCTCTCCGGGCCCGTTCTATTTTTTCATGCTATTACTTTTGCTTTAGAGTTGTGTCTTCTGAATTGCTACATGATTTTGGCTACTCTTTTCTCTCTTTATGGACCAGAAGAGAACTTTAGTACTCTACCTCAAATACAGATTTACATGTAATTTTGAGACAGACCATTAGACTCTCTTCCTCCTTTGTAATACAGCTCTGTCCCATCTGTTCCCCTAAAAGATTGTGTTAACCAGTTAGATCTTTGAAGTCGGTGGTGTAAAGAAAAACAGGATTGAGATGTGCTATTAATTTTTTTTTCTTATAAATATTTTTTTTATAAATCTATTTATTTACTATGTTTACAATGTTCTGTCTGTATGTATGCCTGCAGGCCAGAAGAGGGCACCAGATCTCATTACAGATGGTTGTGAGCCACCATGTGGTTGCTGGGAATTGAACTCAGGACCTTTGGAAGAGCAGGTGATGCTCTTAACCGCTGAGCCATCTCTCCAGCCCCCGAGACAGGGTTTCTTTGTGATGCCTTGTTTGTACTGGAATTTGCTCTGTAGACCAGGCTGGCCTTGAATTCACGGAGGCGCCTGCCTCTGCCTCCCAAGTGCTGGGATTACAGATGTGTGTCACCACTGCCCAGCATCTCTATGCATTTTAATATATAATCTTTCATCTTCTAATATCCTTATATCTCTAAATATTTTTAATAGTCAATATTTTTATGTTACTGTGTTGGTGACCACCAGGAGGAAGATCTGGACGTTAGAGTCGGAAATGAACGAGTTCACTCATTAGTGACTTCGAGAATGCAGGGTTTGATTTTCTGAGCCCCCGAGTATTGAGTATTTTAGAGAGTTGAGCCGTGTGCCTTGGTTCACTCGGTACCTGTGGCCTTGGCAGAGGGGAGACCATGCTTGTCGACGGGATTAGATGCTTTACTATCACTCTTTGGAAATTCTGCTTTAGCCTTTGCTTAGGCTGTGATGCTTTGAACACTTAGCTAGTAAGTGAACTTGTTCTGCCTAGATGTATGTCTGAGAGTCGTGGCTTTTCTGAGGTCTGATGTGGATTTGCCAAAGACTGGGCAGTTTTACTTCTGCCTCACTCTTGATATCAGAAGTGGTGTTTACACTAGTGGGTGCCGGTTAGTGCTGTGGCCGCAAAGGTGAGATGCAGGGGAGGGAAGGACATTGGAAGAGGGTAGCTTTTGAGTTTTACTATGGAGTTTAGGAAACGTAACCCTGTTCTCTAGAAGGGAATACCATCACATGGTCCTGCTCGACTTTAGCCCTCTGAACTGCTCCCCTGCACACTTGAGTGTGTTATTCCTGTTGCCCTCAAGTAATTCTGAAGTTCATGGGCTGTTAGTTCAGGCTGTTCTAGGAAACCCTCGTCTTCACACCAGCTTCAGGAGGAGCTGCCGGCATGAAGTGTGCCCGCATATTTGGAGATAAAAACCTGTGGAATAGTGTGCTGCTGGGTTTTCGTTTTGTTTGTTTGTTTTCTTGAGACATAATTTCCCTGTGTAACTCTGGCTGTCCTGGAACTTGCTCTGTAGACCAGGCTGGGCTTGAATTTAGAGATCTCCCTGCCTCTGTCTCCCGAGTTGGGGTTAAAGGCATGTGCTAGGGGACTGGAGAGATAGCTTACCGGTTAGAACACTGGCTGTTCTTCCAGAGGACCCGGGTTCAATTCCCAGCAACCACATGGCAGCTCACAACTGTTGGAAACTCCAATTCCACGAGATCTGACATCTTCACACCAAAGCTATTAATAAAGAAATAAATTATGTTTAAAAAAATAAATAAAGGCACGTGCTACCACTGACTGGCTTTTTTACTTTGTTCTTCAGAGGATTTTGCTCTAACTTATAGAAGCTCAGGGCTATTGCAATGACCTGTTTCTTTAGCACAATGATGTTCAGTTTTTCCTGTCCTGTCACATTTTCCCATTGTTCTGCTTCAACTAGGCCTAAGTAGAAAGTGGCAAGTCACCTCCCCCTTCTTCTAGTGGGCATCCTGTCTGTGTCACAGCTTGATGCCACCAAAATGAAAGGATCCTTGACTGCTTCAAATGCGGAGGGTGACAGAAGCTGAGCTGGTTTTCTTAGCCAGAGAATGGCCTCTGTCAAAGCAGAGAATAGTTGCAGAGATACAAACTGGGACCTTGAAGCTGTGACTAACATTTTGGCGACATGCGTCCATTTGCCAAATGATTCCTTTTCTTAGGAGTGTGACTGTCGATCTCTTTCTCAAAGTAAGCTCTTGTTAGCTGTTCTCACACAGCTCCCAAGCAGAAGCTGGCAGAGTTCTGGTTGACTGACTGTCTCTTTCAGGATATAGGCCTTGGATTAGAGTGCATGGGGCGTTCCACATCAAAGTGAAGTTCACTGGTAGATCTCAGGAACTGCTCTGCTGGGAAACAGAGGCAGATTCTTCGCTCAATGTTTTGGCAATTCTTCATTTATCTGGTGATTAACTGTAGATTCATTACATTTGTTTAACTTTGCAAGGCCAGGGCACTGAGGAAACAGCGTTTCAAGCTTTCTGTGTTCTCGCTCCCATATCTCTGAGTTGATGAACCTTATAGGCTAAAGTTAGGAACATATCAACCTTTCCTTTGCTTTTTTTTTTTTTTTTTTTTTAATCCATCAGTGCTTGGGATTGAATCTGGGACTTCATGTGTGCTAGGCAGGTGCTCTACCACTGAACAACACCCCCAGTCCCAGTAAGTGTTTACTGGCCTTATCTGTGACAAGGTAGTGAAAAATGTCGCTGGGCAATGATGTTGCATGCCTTTCGATTCCAGGACTTGGGAGGTCTGGAGACAGGTAAATCTCTTGAGTTCAAGGCCAGCCTGGTCTACAGAGCAGGACAGCCCGGGACTGTTACACAGAGGAACTCCATCTCGAAAAACCAATAAATAAATAATAATTTAAAAAAAGATATTGATGCCGGGTGGTCGTGGCATGCGCCTTTAATTCCAGCACTTGCGAGGTAGAGGCAGGCGGATCTCTGTGAGTTTGAGGCCAGCCTGGGTTACAAGAGCTAGTTCCAGGACAGGCTCCAAAGCTACAGAGAAACCCTGTCTCGGAAAAAAACAAACAAACAAAAAAAGATATTGAAAACATGTTAAATATAAGGTAGATGTGGTAGTTCCGGCACTTGGGAGGCTGAGGATGGCTGCACATTCAAGTCCAGCCTGGGCTACAGAGCAAAAACTAGTTCCAGGACTGGTGCCAAAGCTACTGGAAAACCCTGTCTTGAAAAAATAACAACAACAACAAAAATGTTTGAGATCAGGCCTCACTCTGTAGTACTTTAGAGTTCCAAGTTCCTAACACTTTGAGATGTGGCTCACAACTAACTCCAGATCCAGGGGATCCAGCTGCACCTTTTGGATACTATGGGTATTTACATGTGTGGCGTGCACTCGCCTTTGGGTGACACACAATTTTTTGTTTTGTTTTGAAACAGGGTTTCTCTGTGTAATAGCTCTGGCTGCCGTAGAACTCGCTCTGTACACCAGGCTGTTTTCAAACTCAGAGATCCACCTGCCTCTGCCTCCCAAGTGCTGGGATTAAATGCGTGCACCCCCACCTTTGGGTGACACACAACTTTTAAAAGAGAAATAAAGATGAAAATGGTGTTTGCAAATTTTATATGTTAAATTGTGTTGAGGCTTGTTTATAATCCCAGTATTGAGGAGGTGGAAACAGATGAATCAGGAGTTCAAGTCCAAGGCCTTTGTTCAAAAAAACAAATAAAATTTGCATTTTAATTAAGTAATACAGGTCTGGAGAGATGGCTCAGAGGTTAAGAGCACTGACTGCTCTTCCAGAGGACCTGGGTTCAATTCCCAGCACCCACATGGCAGTTCACAACTGTCTGTGACTCCAGTTCCAGGGGACCTGACACCAATGGCAAAATACAAATGCACATAAAATAAAATTAAATAAATAAGTAATGCAAATTCAAATGGCAACAAATAAATTATGTGGCATGTTGGCTCATGCCTACAATATCAGCACTCCAGAGGCAAAGGCAGAAGGGTTTCATTTGAGCTAGCATGGGTTGAAGGTTAGCTTGAGT